TTGCGCAATGAATCGAATAAGAAGTGAAAGGATTGTATTTTGAGCTCACCATCAGTGTCTCTTGTTCTTGCTCTTGCTCTTCAAGCGCGCAATGAGGATTTACGTTACGTAGGTACCTACTGTTTTGTGGAACCACAATACTGAAATGTATTCTTTAGTATTTGTAATTTGCTAGCTTTCTAATTTTTTTACAGCTTTTCAAAAACTTCATATTTACTTCAACTATTTTTAGCAATGGTTGCTTGCCGTGCTATGCCTATGCCTCGACAAAAGATTACGTTTAATGTTGATCATTCGTTTGTTATACTTCTTAAAACGCTGTCGGATGATGTGCATCACGTTTTATTTTATGGCCGAATTGCGTCGCCTAATGTTTGAACGTTTGTTATATTTATAATGCTTAAGCTATAATGTGGCACCTATTTACACAAATGTATTGTGATTTTTTGAATTCATGGTACCTATTTGTAACATTTTAAGAAGCACGTATTTCTAATATCTAATTAAAAGTGATTTCTTATTCTGTGTTTTGGAATAAATCTGGCATTTTTGATCTATAAATCAGCTTATACCCTCTACTCTATCTAGTGCGCTTGGTTTTGTTTTACTTACTCCAAAAAACATTCCATCTACTCTTGTGACAGGAAGCTAAACAATGAATTTTCTTGCCTCCTCTTTTTTTCTTCTCTAACAACAAATTAATGAAAGGTCGGTTTACATCCCACTTGACAAGCAATGTTAAAAAAACGTTTGGTACGTTAAACGAATGTTGCATTTTGAAACAACTCAATTAAACAAAACATCAACGTTATACTAACGATACTTGAATTGCTTTTCTTTCTAAACCGTCGTTACGACGTTTTTGTAATGTTAAAAATTGTAACCTTTTGGACTTGCGTCGCTGCAACCGGACATTATTACGTTAAAATAACATTCAGAAGGCTAACGTTATACCAATATTACTTTGACAACGTTTTTATGCAAAACCTTGTTGCGATGTCATTATAATGTTAAGTAATGTGATGTTATTAGCGTATGTTGACGGAACCATACATAACTACGTTAGTTCAACTTCTAAAAGCTTAACATTACAACAACGACATTTTGGTACTGTTAAGTTGCACAGTTACAACGTTCTTGTAATATTAAAAATGTGCCTTTGGGCATTGCGCAACGAAAAAATAGCTGGTCGGTGACTCATCACTCGGTTTAGCTTCATTTACAGTTTAACATGTTTGTTGAATGTTGGTTTTCTGTGAATTGAGTGATGTGATTCAAAATAAGTGGAGGATAGTTTGAATTAAGTGCTTAAAAATTGTGGAGTTTTTTGGGTTAGACATTGGCGATTGTGGTTTTTTTCATCAAGGATGAACGACAACGACTTCAACAAATAAGCTGAATAAGCAATCCATTTACCTACGGCGATTTTTACGTGTTGGATTTCTCTTTGTAT